TGGACTAGCGACTTGACAATATGAGCACGACGACCAAGGACGCAAGAGGAAGAGAAGTCTGATGTGAAGAACAACTCAAAAACGTTCGTCCAATCCCGTAGGTCATATATGTTTATACAGAGTCGACAAAAATTGAAACCGTATCTTAACTATAGAATTTGATGCGCTATAATTTACTTTTAATAAATTTAAATGTGCACATCGTCAACATTTTTCATAGAACCCAATAATGTATTCATTCATTAGTAGTGGACCAACTATTAGGTAAAAGAAACCCTAAAAGATATTAATATATAGTTCACTAAGCACTCCATAGAAAACAATTCAAATAAAAAAAGCAGAAATAAAATATTTAAAGCAAAGAACCAAGATAAATAGAAAAAATAAATAAAAATAAAATGGTTACTCGTAAAACACGAATGACACCTATCTGCACTTTGCGCACACAAATCTCGTTTAACATACCGACAAACATCAATATCCACTCAAAAATTGCACATAAGTCCCCAAACAATCTCAATGATTTTCTTCCCTTTCCACATCCTTTTTCTTGGTAGAATCCGTTTCCCCTCTCCAATATTTGATCCTCTTAGCTGCAATGGAAGCCTGCAATTATCCAAAAATTAATAATGAAATAAAATAATATTAAATAATTCAATAAAAGGGATCTAAATCTATATATAATTCAACAACATGTTCAAAAATTTCGACCAAATATTACTAATTTTTTAAGAAATTCAGATTCATATATATTTAAAATCAATATATTTGGAAAAAATCTAACATTCAATAATTCTTATGGTGTACCTAAATTACAATATACCTATAATTATGTATAAATTACCACGAAGCAGATCTAAATTAAATTATCATAAATCGGTTATAAATTATAAAATAATTATTGCTTGAATACAAATTTATTCAATCTCTTTTTTTTTTAACTCAAAATGTAACTCAAATTTCATTCAACACAACAATATTACTATAATGTTGTGTACAAACAAAATTTTCATAATCAATTATAATTTATTTTAATTATTGTATAATTAATTTATACTTATATATTTACTTTAAATTTATCTAATCTTTTTGTAATCGAATTGACTTCGTGCATGCATGTGAACCGATCAAAAATAATAATAATAATAATACCTCTTTGTTCCAATCGGTCCGGTAAACAATCCAAAAGAGGATTAGCGTTTGTACAAGAGTCCCGGCGACCATTCCGTACCAAATGCCCTAGCAAGAGTCAACAGAGTACGTAGCTATGAGTATTAATTAAGGGAAATGCTACAGTCCCGTTACGGTACTATCCTGTTGAGTGTTTTAACCGTCGGATCATCTATAAAAATGAAGCAGGTAGAGTAAATCTAGTACACGTGGCATGATCTTGGATAATTCAAACTGAATATTGACATTTTAGTGGGAAAATTAAATCTTACTTTGACACCCATATCAAGAGTGTAACCCAATATTAGACCCAAAGGAACCCCAAACACATAGTAGCAAACAATGTTAACATTGGCAATCATAGCTTGCCATCCAGCCCCAATAGCCACCCCTACATTTATATGAAAAATTCCAACTAAGTGAGGTTGGCTAAATAATTAATTATGAAAAAAATTATGAGTTGATCGATTGATTACCGGAGAGTGCCGGCTGAATGCTGTTGACCACGATGCAGAATGCGAGCAACGGATTGAGCTCGTTCACGACTCTTTTGACCGCATCGCTATCGGTGAAAAAAGAAGGATACTCGTCTTGGAAGGTTAAAAGAAGAATGGATACCAAAAGGCTGATCAGAAAAGCAGATATCACCATCACAACCACTGAAAATTTAGCCGTCCTCGGACGAGAAGCACCCAATTCATTAGCCACCCTCACACTGCACATATATACATACCAATATATTATGCATGTTATTAACATTTTCTTAATATGAATTTTCAATAAAATTTTGCTCTTTGCTTATGATCATCTCTGCCTCACCTAATGGCGGCATTGAATCCACAAGCTATTGTATTTGTCCAGCCCAATATGTTTGTGCTGCAAAATTAGAAGATATGTTATTAGCTGCCAAAACAAGACTTTTGTAGCTAGCTATTTTAGGTGTAGGGCAAAGATTTATAAGGCTAGCCAATCCCATAATTTAGCAGGGTCTAAATTTTTCTTTTTTGACCCACCAGTTCCGGTTCAACTCTGGGTCCAAAAACGGGTCACAATTGTTTTTTATTTCCTTTTCTAAAAAAAAAAATTGAACCGTCGGATCGGTCCGGTTCATTTGAACCAGCCCTTAATATAGCACGGGCCAGTTCCCGGCCCAACATTTGAGGCCCACCGACCCGACAGACTTGGTCGGGTTTGGTCTGGTCGTGAACCGGCCCGGCCTTTGGTCACGTCTAGGATAACTGCATAGAAATTATTTATTATTGTTCTCGTATTTTAATGCATAAGAAAAAAAAAGGCAATAAATTGGTGAAAAAGTAGCTAAGGCCAAAAGATTGAAGGGTCGTATACTGTGCATACACAAGTTTGATTATTATTATTATTATTATTTTTACAACGTGACTAAATTGGTGAAAAAGTAGCTAAGGCCAAAAGATTGAAGGGTCAATCATTTGTCTTACCAACAAGACGGGAAAAAAGTAGTGATGGGAGCAAAGCAAAAGGCTATGGTGCCGTACAATTTAATTGTCGCATTGTGTGTTTAGATGCGCGGTCAAGTGGACCAAATACACGTTCCACTTTAACGCACATGTTTGCTGACATTTTTCTGCTCTAGAATCTTCTTTTTATATCGTTTTTTCGCTATATTAATTTATATTGTATTATATTATAGTCCTCATTATTATAATTTTTATTTTAAAAAAAAAATACCAATTAATTAGATTCAACTTGTATGCATCCCGTGTAGGGTTGTAAACGAATAGAATCAAAGTGAATACTCAGAGATTTCGATTCGATTCGTTTAAAATATTCGAAAATTCAATTCGTGATTCGATTCAATAACGAATTCATTTTTTGATTCGTATTCGATTCGTTTAGAATATTCGAACATATTCGATTCGATTGGAAATTCGTTTTAAAAAAAATATTATAATTAAAAAATATTATAATTACAAAAATAAATTTTATTTTTCATATATTTTTTGAAAATTTTGTTAATTTGTGATGTTTTTATTTTTATGTCATAAAATATTAGGAATATAACAATATATATATATAGTTATATACATATATTATAAACAAAATATATATTATATATAATTTGTAAAATTTATATAATTATTGTTAACGAATCGAATATTCGAATTTCGAATCGAATATCTACACATTCGGATTCGAAATTGTTATAATTTCGAATCTAAAACATCATTCGAATTCGAATTCGAATATTTCGAATTCGAATCACGAATATCGAATTTGAATCACTAATCGAATAAAAAATATTTGATTTGTTTACAACTCTAATCCCGTGTGATGCACAGACGAGCTTATTACTTATTTTTTTAAAAAAAAATATTGTAATAAAAGTAATACAAATATGTTTATTTGAATATAATACGAGCTTATTACTTAATTTTTTTAAAAAAATATTGTAATAAAAGTAATACAAATATGTTTATTTGAATATAATGAGTGTCACCAATCAAACCAATAAC